TCTCCGCTCACTGCCCTGGGTACAGTTAGTGGATAACAGATCTGCCACCCCGGTAAAACTGGCCGGTTTTAATGCAAAGATCACTGTCAAATAAGACTTTCATCCTCAATGACTTTTTCAACTCCAAAGGATTAGACTTCCTGCTGGTAACAGAAACCTGTATGAACTCTGATGAGGTTAGTCCACTCATTGAACTTTCTCCTCCCGACTGTGCCTTCCTTAACATGCCAAGACCCTCCGGACGGGGCGGGGGTCTTGCAGTCGTTTTTAGAAACACGTTTAACTGCACCTGCCTTCCGCTGGGTCGTTTCTCCAGTTTTGAAGTACAGATTCTTAAAGTATGGACGGCACACCCTTTGTTAATCATCTTGGTATATCGCTCTCCTAAACCTGATTACAACTTTATTTCTCAATTTGCAGACCTCTGATTTTAATATCCATGTGTGCTGTAATTTCTAACCACTGGTTGGTGAATTTCTTAACTTAATTGAATCTTTTAATTTCACACAGCATGTAACTGTTCCCACCCATAAACTTGGGCATACACTTGATTTAGTTTTGACAACTGGTTTTCCTGTTTTTAATATGGAAATAATTGACCCTCACCTCTCAGATCACAGTGTAATTATGTTGTTATGTATCTCGACCTGTTTCTCAGTCAACTGTTCTCCTTCCTGTTCGCTGCTCTCGCCACATAAACTCCTCTACCAAAAGGGCAAACTTTTGCCCTACCTTCACCAAAATAATATACTTGTCAGGTTTCAGGGTAGCTCACAGTATTGAGTCCGCCTTACTAAAAGTCCGTAATGATCTCCTCCTCATAGTCCATTCAGGAAACTGTGCTGTCCTGGTTTTATTGGACGTGAGTGCCGCTTTTGATACCGTCGATCACGCCACTCTAATTGATCGCCTTCAGCATACGGTTGGTGTTGGAGGCTCCGCCCTGAATTGGTTCATCTCCTATTTAAAAAGTAGAATGTTCTCAGTGAACATAGGACTGTGCAGAGCGCCAGAGCCCCATCAACAAGAGCTGCAAAGGCGTACTGGTTGGAACTTTTTGCGTCATGGTGCAGGTCTAAACATATAGATGCAATGCAATGTCTCAAGTGGCTATCTCTCAAGGTTGCATTCTGCATAGTGATTACATCAGCCAGGAGAGTGGAAGAGCTTCAGGCTCTGTCTGCTCATTTTTGGAAATTGAAAGGAAACTGATGAAAATATTGTGTAATATTAATATTGAAAGAGTTTTTGAGACAAAGTTCCTTGGTGTTGTCATTGATCATGGCATATCAATAGCAATCATTTATAAATCGAGAGATATATTTCATTTTAAGGCCTTACATATAATCTATTGCTCATTTATACTGCCGTACATATCTTACTGTGTGGAAATGTGAGGTCCACCTTTAAAACAACTATAAATTCAGTAGTAGTTCTGCAAAAACAAGCGACACTTATTATTAATAAGACAGATTATTATACTCACACAAATCCACTTTTTCTAAATTCAAATTTTTTGAAATTCAATGATTTTTTTAGATTTTAAATGAATACAAATAATACTTCGAGCAAAGTCAAAGTCACACCCAAACTCTATACAAAGGGTCTTTACGATTCGAGAGAGCAAATATGATTTAAGAGGTGTTTGTAAGATTATTAAACAAAATGAAGGCAAAAAAAAGGTATTAAAAGGGGATGTGTTTCAGTTTTTGGGGTTAAATTATGGAATGATGCTGATATAAATTTAAAAGCCTGTTCTTCACTTATCACTTTCTTTTTTTTCTTTTTTTTCTTAGGTGCAATAGCGTGACAAACTGGTGACATATACATAACAAATGAGGCACAAAAAAACAAACAGACAAGGTCAAGACAACAACCACAAAATACAGTAAAAAAGAATAAAGACAGCAAAATACTAAGACGTCAACAGAAACACATCTGACTACAACTAGCAAAGACATTACAAAACTATACGAAATACCTAAGAAAGGAAGTGAAAGAAGCGATAGAGAGAAAGAGAGAAGGGGAGGGAGAGAAGGTGCTTTGTAAGGGGGACTTGAGAGGTAGAAGAGAGTTGAGCAGTGTATATGATATGTGTTGAATATGTTGATGTTGAATAATGTTGTGGTGTGAGAGGTGAGAGTTTGTGTAATGATTATGTTTTAGGGGTAATTGACTGCAGCCGGGGTTTTGGGGTTGGTTTGAGCGTTTGATTTGATTTGAGGGTAGGATGGAGGGAGAGGCGAAGCTATTGTTTTTCTTTTCTTTGGCCGGGTCCTGCAGCAGCAGCCCCCAGACCCTCAGGAGGGGACTTGTCACTTGCAGGACCCGACCTGTTCAGGGAGCACACATGAGAGGGAGGGGCCACCAGACCCAGCGGAGGGAAGCCCGCCCCCCCAAATGCAGTAGCCTGTTTTATTTAGGGACTCAGCCTGTTCAAGGAGCACACGTGAGAGGACACTTTTCACTTTCAAAAAAATGCTTCCCAAAGCTATTTTTGATCATTATATATGTGAATGATTTATTTTTTTTCCTTCCGAGAGCTGGTAGCTTAATTTGATAAGAATGTAGGATAGGTATTTATAAGCAGTTTGTTTCTGCCTATGCCTTTTCAGCCACTACATAATACATGACTTTTGACTTTGTTTGAACTGTCTGTATCGTTTGAAATGATTGTATATCAAAAATGGATAAATACAATACTATACAAAGAAAATACATTTAGGAAGTAGAGCTGTTTTACACAAACATACATATATTCACACACTTTTTGTACAATATATATAGATATATATCTATCTATATGCTAACACAAACAAAAGCAAATAGCTTCTAGCTGTTTTAGCCATGGTTACAATGATATGTTTTGTTTTTTTTGTCATCAAAAACCAAACAAGGGAAAACTCCTTTGATGTACCTGCAGATTGTGTCTGGCGCCCCCTAGGGACAAAGCAGTAGTATTGCTCTGCTCATCAGTTACTTTACATGCGAAGATGTTTTCTGAAAAAAATATAAAATTATTTTCACCAGGTGTGAATATTTGATGTAGAAAATGAAAAAAAATGTTTCTAAAGCTTTCGTCAAATCATCTCTTCTGTCTCCTACCCCACAGCAGTGGTTACAGGTATTAAACATGACAATGTAGATATAGTCATTTTTGCTGCTCATTATCTTTTTTTTTTTTTGCTTTTGTAAGTCATATAGAGATGTAAATATGAACTTCAGTCTAGACTAGAAAAATGATCCTCACAGGAGCTGTAAATTCAACAAGATGTAGGTAGGTAGGTACTTTATCAATCATTTGCAGGAAATTAAATTGTCACAGCAGCAACTGAAATCACAGTCCAAGACACCACACACAAAAAAATACAGATATAATTTACATACATAAAACACACTAAGATCTTTTTTTTTTTAAACTAGACTAAAACTTCAGAGTTATAAATAAAATATATCCTAGAAATGTAATTAACCTTAAGTGTACAAAAATCTGAGTAAGTGTATTTAGAAATAAATAAATATGAATAAATATGAGTAAATGTATTCATTGTGCGTTATTCTCCATTAAACTGTCTGATGGCAGTTAAGGGAAAGGACTTTCTGTAACGTTCAGTTCTGTACCTCAGAGTGATGTGACTTAAGAAGTAAGATGGTCTCATATTCCCAAATTGTCGCTCCCTTGTCCTAATTTATTTTAATTGGCAGGAAAGCAAATTGAGATAGCACTGATTATATTAACACATTTCAAGTATTTAAAAGTATTTTCAACATGTAAAAAGTTACAACTCAGCTTTGTTCAGTCCACAGCAGCTGGAACAACAGCCAATAGAGGCTCAACAGATTATCTCCCACAAATTTCAGCCAACAGAGAACTGGTTCGAGGTCCAATTAAGTGCTGTGACTTGTTTTATCATGATACATGTTGAGGTTCAACAGATCTGCAGTAGGACCAGGGACTGTAAATATTAATGAACAAAGCCTGAGTGATGTCACATCTGTTAAAGCCCCCTGCAGTAACAGTAGTCATGCTGGAAATGCTGTCTCTTCCTAACTTTGAGTCAACCTAATGACAGACTAAGAGCTGGAGCTGAGGCGGATTTCAAGCCTCTTAACAAATCGTTACATTGCGTCTGCCTGTCAATCAGGTCAGCTACGTGCCTTATTGTGATTAACGGCTTCATTTTTCAACACCAAAGATGGTGCTTGAGCAGGACACTGTTGATTTGACTGACAATTCTGATTAGAGAGCTCTAAGTTGGATGTGAAGGAAAGTTAACAGAAAATATAAAGCACATTGTTGAATATGAAATGATTAACTTAAGACAACTATGGTTGTATATATATTTTTCAGCTATTAAAAGTTTTAATTTAGTATTTTACATCATCAATTTCATTGTATTTTCAGGTGATACAACAAGGAAAAAGGGCAACCCCCTGACCAGGGAGATGGCCAGAGGGGTGCCACCCCAAAAAAAGTTTGATTTGCTATTTGCTTATGTTAAAACCAGCTATTAGGAATGTTTCTGGAGAGGCTGCTTTAAAAAGTAAAGTAGTTTTCTTCACATATTAATGTATCAAATGTTCTTTTTACTTGAATTTTAAATAAAAATGTTGCACATCTGTTTCATAAGACCAGTGCATGGGAAAGTAATGCACTGTCTCACTTGTAATGAACTAACTGACCATTTGTAGGAAAAAAACATTACAAGTTAGACTTTATAGGAGTTTGCATGTACTTCTTTATGTATTCAAATGTTTTACTTTAAAACATATAAATCTTCTTTTTCTGTCATTAAAAAACTATTCTAATGTTTAATGTCTAATGGACTTTGAATTTTTGCACATAGATGTGCCTAAACATGCACAGGACACACAGAAAACACACTAAAGGGCATATAAAACCAGAAAAAACATAATATGGGACCTTTAAATCATAGTGGCTAAGTGATTAAACCAGACAAGTCTTCATCATGGTCAAATGAGTGACACCAGCAGACAAGTGAATACTCTGCTCTTTATTTACACGTTAACATTTCTTCAACATTCTTCCTCATAACCCATTATGCTCAGATCAACACTAAATACATATGCACATTATGAATTACTATAACTGCACAGCAGGTTCCTGTGACTCGTAGCAAAGCACACACAGTATAAAAGTTACAGAGAGAAAGAATTCTCTCAGTTACTTGTATCTGCATTCCCTAAAATGAGCAGAGTGCACATCCATGCAGACACAAACTTCTAAAGTCTCTGCTGTTAAGGCGGACTGAGCACTGACCCAGCTGATGTTGTCGTATTCAGAAACAGATGTTTAATGGAGGCAAGGCTGTGCGGGTACTTTTACCCTACATAATTATCACATATTGATTACAGTTTTGAAATTGTGGGTCGCAGATTGTCTATGAAAACCTTTAATATTTCAGATTCAGCACAGATTTTATATCTTGGACCAGATTATGACAAGTGTCAGTTGCTTTTCTTTCCTTTGCATGTGTGCTTGTTGGTTCTTGCGCCAACGTGATATATGAGGCAAGACTGCACAATAGAGGTGAACAATTTCAACACAACATTTAATATACTTCCACACAGAGAGGAAACTATAGAAACAGTCTCTAATGTTTTGAAATGTCCTAAATTTGAGTGACTAGTAGTACACGAGTGTCTGAATGAAGAGCAGCCCATCAGTCATTTGTAACTCCATACAGTGTATAGCTGTCACTCAATAGCACCCACCCCACCCAAGTAGTCCAGGACAGTTCACAGACGGCGACATCAGGAGTTGGCACCAGTCCGTGGCCCTCTGATGATGTGGATCTTGGCTTCATCATCCAGCTCGTCCATGATCCTTTCCTGTTTGACGGACAGGATAGTGTAGCTAACTGGACCGCAGCAGGTTAAGGAAAAGAAAGTCAAACTGGTATATAAATGTAAGCCTACATTTTATTGTATCATTGTGTTTCTTTAAAGCCCTATAGGACTGGCTAATGGTTGAAATGTGTGACATGTTTCCTTGACCGTTTTGATTCGACTGAACATTTGTGGCCCTGCTGTTGGACATAAGCATTGACTGTAATCCAAATGAAATGCTCTAGTTCCTTCAGTTTGTGTAATCTTGGCTGGGAGAAAAAAAAAAGTGTACATCTCCTTGAACACAATAATGCACCTATGACTGTTCTCTTCATACCTAGTATGAAATAGTGAGGCACTTTCAACTCTCTTGACAACATGCATTGAAGATAAAATTATTAGTCTTTTTTCATTCTACATTAAACAGGCTACCAGGTTTTTGTTCCCAGTGTGTAGCTCCTGAGGTAGTCTACGCCAGGCATTATTTCTTATTATTAACCTTTATTGAACCAGATAAGAACCCATTGAGATCAGGATCTCTTTCACAAAAGGTGACCTGGCCAAGAGGTCAGCAGCACACGTTCAAAAGAACAGTGACAATTAAGTGACAGTACAGATTAACAACATAGTGTTTTCAATAAAAAAAGAAAGTGTGGGAGCTGTGACACAACAATAAAACAACAATTTAAGATTTAAAAAAAAAACACAGGCACTGTTCAATGGTCTCACGCTGTCTGTGTCCCTCAAGACAGAACGGAAAGCTCCAAGTGGTAACAACATTGCTTTAACCTAACGCTAATGCGTGTGTTTTATTTTCTCATTTGAGCACTTGAATGAAGGTCACTGTTCCTATGCCATGCGTAAAAGCGCATGATGACTGGCGAAGGATACACATGCCGACCACAAACGCCCCGATGGCCAAGCCGGTCAGCAGGTTTCGGCCCCGGAGCCGCGCTGCGTTTTGCTTCCAGTAGTCGAGCTCCTGCCGGCGGCGGAGGAGTTGTTTCTCTGCCGCTGTTAGGGAAGCTTTCACGGATCTTTCTGCTCCTTCCTCTGCCATGACTTGTTTGGTAAACCAGCCGCCAGAAGTGACGTCTTATCTGAACTGGAAATATTCTTCTTCTCCGATAAAACAAACAAAAAAAAGCACAGCGCCATCTATTGTTTCGGAGTGTGTAGAATGTCTTTCTTAAATCATTGTATCGAGCGCTAGTTTTAAATTAAAACAAGGTAGGTATAAAACATAAAAATAAAAAAAAATTCTGTGAATGTCTCATCTAAATTTTGGTCCACTTTTCATTTCATTGACACAGCACACATCACATGCATTATGACACTTTTATCAACAAACTCTACACTTCCATTAGAAAATATGAAAGCATTAATCCCTTAGCCTATTGTGTCAATCTTTAGAATAGGCTGCTGGTGATGGGGACTCTGGAACTGTTTGTCTTCTCTTGCTCTTGTCGCCTTAACCCCTTCAAGGAATTCTTGATGTCATGGAGTTGGAAGATGAAATTCAACCAGCACCTTCAGGTAACACTACATTATTGATGTCTTCTCTTTTGTTCTCACTGTTTTCTTTGTTTGTGTTATGAGACTCACCTTTCCCATTGTGGATGGGGCTTAACTCCCTGCCCTTGTGCGTTTTCCTATGTGTGATTGTAGCTTTTCGTGATCTTTCTTTGGTCTTAAAAAACTGTGTGGGTATAATAGGTGCAATTCTACATCTTGCCTCCTGCCAGGTTTTCTGGAGACAGACGTGACCACATTTGTACCAGAAGGTGGAGCCGTAGGAGAACAAGGGTTTAGGCATTACACTCTGTGACAACTTATTTCTTGGTTGCTGACAGTTTGACTCTGCTGCATTGACAACCATTACTTCAAAATTGGCAACAAAATCTAGAGTTCAGTTGCTCCACAGATAAGTGGCACTTTCTACTGTTGTGAATTTATATTAGCATTTAAAACTATAGAACCTGAAAAAAAGACAATCCCACTTTTTCAGATGTACCGTATTTAGTGAAAAATAAAAACAGTCTTTTATTTGGATGTTTTGAAAGACTTCCCCCTACTCCTGGAGGGGGCACTTTAAAAAAACTGTTCCTTCGATATAAAATGAAAAAACTACAGCCATAAATCTAATGAAACCCTAGAAAAACATAAAAACATAAATTAAAGGTTGGTAAGTCAAATCGAAAGCTTTGAGCAGCTCAACAACTGTGTTGTGGATTGATATTGAAGTACCAAACTACAAATTGACCAGACCTGTTATCAATCGATCAATTAAAAAAAGATATATATATTAGATATATTTATTGAATGAGGACATTTCAACAGTATAATCCTGTTATGTTGAAATACAGGACATTGTGGTAGAACAGTGGAGTTGGATTTAACAGATTGTCACCCATCTCCATCCTGACAATTACCGTAATAGGTGAGTACTTTACTGCTTTGCTCGGTAGAATAGGCAAAAACCATCACTTACTATTTTAAAGTCATTTGTAAGATTAACGTTATAGCTAGAGTTTGAGATGAAACACAAACACTGCAGGCGGGCTCACACACGCAGTAGAGTGAATTAAATGTGAAATGTTGTATTCATCAATATCAATATTGCCAATGACCTTGACCCCAGCAAGGATGTGTGTGTCTGAGAAAAAATAATATTTATATTTATTTATTAATATACTATCTTGGCTCTCCTGTCCAAGCTGGAAAGTGTTGGACCAATGGTTGATTAACAGTTGATTGAATGCCTTCATAAAATACAATAATGTAGTAAACATATGGACATTCAGTGGTTCCCCTAGGTTTACAGCATTGGGGGGGTGGGGGACACACGCCACAAACACTTGAAGGAATCTTGGTGTTCATGGGTTACTTCTAATGACAGCTGTCCTTTTCTATCGGAAAGGTATCCTTAAATGACTTCTTTCCCTGATTACGGACTCTATCCACTATCCTATCTCTACAATAAAGGCACCATAAATAAATAAATACATTTAAAAACGGGTCCATAGTTATCTAACTATCTATAGGTTTATGGTTTACTGTTAAATGGGATAATTTTACCTCTTGACCTTAAACCATGCATTTCAACTTTGTCCATAATAGCAAAAAGAAATTGTATTGTATTGTTAACACTTAAGGCTTTGTCAATTCAATTCAAATTCAATTCACTTAGCAGACGCTTTTATCCGAAGCGACGTACAACAGAGAGCAAGTACAACACTAATCCATTCATACACCGCCACGGAAGCAGCGGGAGCAATGTGGAGTTAGGTGTCTTGCCCAAGGACACATTCAGCGAACCCTCGACCTTCCGGTTGAAAGGCGACGACTCTACCAATTGAGCCACAGCCTCCCCCTGTCACACCACATACAGCAAAACATTCCAAGGCGTCTTGGTGATCTGCTGTAGCTTGTGGCTTGCAACTACTGTATTTTGTTCACTTTAGTAAATTTTTATATCTTATTTCCGCATTCAGTCTTGGGGCTAAAAGTTATCATTCATATTTAATACATGACTGGGTTAAATACTTGATTCTGAATGGCCAATCATGCATAGCAACAGTCTACTATCCCTCCAAATAGTTGTAAAGAAGAACACACTGTTTCCATGAAGTGCTGATGGATGCTAGAGATCCATGGCTCATATCTCAGAATCCACACACTAACATATTAGCATGTACAAACAAAAACGTATTACAGCGATTACTTTTATTTGTTTGCTCCTTCTTAGCGTGCAAAGAGCTCACACTTTGGGGCAGCTTAGCATAACCATTATACACCAAGGCATTTGTTGGATACAAAAAAATTGCATAACATGACTTCTCTGTACAACATACTCAATGGAACAATATCATTTGTTAATTAAGACACAGCCTAGGACTAAATTAAATCATATAAACCTGCAAAAAGAAGTGAGGTAAATTGGACACCGTTCTGCTCACTGTGGCAAAATGAGAAAGAAGCTGAATACAGGTGTGAAAAGTCAAATCCACAGAGAAATCTATAAATCTGATGATGCATGGCACATTAAGAGAAACAAGTAACAGAATAGGGCATGAGATAAAGCATGGAGATAAATGCTAAAGTAAATGTCAGCAGAAACTATACAGGTGTTGCACTAATTCATGCCGACATGTTGACCTTGTCTCACTTTATCAACAAACTGCCCTTTTTAAGAAAGCTTTAGTGAAAACTGCTCCCCATATAAACCTGCCTCGGACTACGGATTAAATGTAACTTTTGTGCTAATTCTGGCATGTTTACATAAATGCTATTTGTTGATATGTTGATTAATGTGCACTGTCCAAATATATATATCACCCCTTGCTTAGGGGGATTGTAAAATGAAGACAAAAAAGGACCATTCATGTATGTGCAGTAAAACATAACAAATTAACACAATACAAAAATGTAAACAAAGTTGACAGAGGTAATAAGTAATAATATACATCACTTAGTCCTTTAAAGGCTGTGTGCGTGAGATTTTACGCATAAATGTAGCAGAAATCCAGTATGTCCTCTGTAAATATCTCTGAGTCATGACTGTCTACAATGAGTGTGACACCCGAATCCCACTGTCTGTAATAATAATAACCATCATCAATAAAGGGTAAATTGATAGTCAATTAAACTTAGGTTAGTAATTATTTTACTGTAAGGGCGACATCTACAGGATCAAAAAGTTGCATATTCTTCCTTTAAGGGTATATCATTTTTAAATCTCTAAGAAGAGATAGAAATAATGATTTCATTGGCTTTGAAAAATATTAAATCTAAAAAGCAGTTGGTCCATTCTATCTATCCATAGTGCACACACTTTAGATGATTTTTGAAGAAGTGAAGCCGCAGTTTAAACTCTTTCTCACTGTCTTCTGGATTTCTGAAGCTGTCGTAGCGGGCTGTGTCCATGTTGCTGGTATGAGGCTGATGGCCGATGGACACATGGCTACAGCTGGCAACCATCAGAGATCCCATCCCATCCATAAAGAACTCTAGAGTCAGACACAAAGATTTTAACTTTTAAGGGAAAAAAAACACCTTGGCCAACACATTCTGTATAGTTGTGAGCAAGCTGCCATGAGGGATTCACACTCTGTCTAGTTTTCAACCTACCTGAGTGTCCTACTCTCTGGAGCTTAGGGTCAAATCCCACCTTCTGTACAACATCTGTACGAGCAAGGAAGAAGTTGACCACCCCACTGGCTAGAGAGCAATGTGGGTGACCAGGGAGTTGGTGGAAAGTCTCTTTAGACTTTCTGCTCAGGCAGCCACCCTCCATTTCGTCTCCTTCCTGATAGTCTAATGAGAAATAAAACTGGTTGCCTTCTACTGATCCGCCAAGCTGATAAGAAAAAAGACATGATAAGTGGTCAGAAACGGGTCTGTCATGCACCCCGCCTAATTTTTGCTTAGTGCAGTAATTAACTGTGCATTAAAATGCTCTAATGCAACAGAAACATTTCCAAGCAAATCACTTTTCCATGGATTATAGCTAGTGATAATGGATAATAGGATTTGGCTCAGCAAATCCACAATCAATGTAAAAATGCGACCTTCATTTCACAAGACTGTCAAAATGATCATAAAAGCAGACAATCATCTCTTTTACTGAGTTACAGTCAAGTCACATTTCAAAACAGCAGCAGCTGACCAAAGTGCTGTACAAAGCATAAAAGTAAAAACATACAGGAGCTTACGACAATGATAAGAACTAACAATAAAGCAATAAACAAAAGCTGATAGAAACGGACAAGAGGGCTGAAATGCTGCCTCTTGTTGTCGGCAGATTGACATCCCGGCTGAACTAAGGGACTTAAGAGAAGTTGAGAAATAACCTCATTTTCTTTATTGTCCTTTTTATGATGAGTTAAGAACACCTATGATTAACTGTATAGGCCTACACTGTTGTTTAATTTCAATGTTTATAAGCTGGCGTCTCTGAAGCCGAGAGAGGGGCCAGGATGGTTTATTTCGTTAGTGTTATTATTATTTTTAGTCACACATAATGCTTCTTTAGGGTCAAGATTCTCATGTAAAAATCACCAGACACAATTACTAAAATACAAGCAGATTACATAACTTATCGATAATTATTTATAACAAGTTAGGAGAGCTAAAACACAGAAAGATGACAGAGAGATTCAGGCCACTTTGTTTATTCATGAAGTTCATTCATAAATAAAAACGCATATCCTCTTCTGTTCTGTTTTACATTGAGTTCATAAGTGAACTACAAATATTCATTTTATATGAAGGTGGGTATCATTTGTTTAAATAAATTCTGTCATTTTTGATTTGTGCATGAGGGTCTATGAATTTGAGCTATGTTTATATAAAAAGTGTTGACAGATGTGAGAACTATATTGAGACTAAACACTATTTAAAAAAAACAGGTGGATAGAGGGATAGATAGTACTGTTTACTGAAGATGTATGGTATAATATATAATAAAAAAACCTGTATAGGACGTTGCCCTTTTTAACTATGGACTGGAAAAATGTCCTTATCAAGGATAATTTGAGCTATAAGCAACGTTCAAAAGCTGAGAGGGTACATAATAATTTACAGTAGAATATGTCATATAAAGTTTTTAACAAGAAAAGTTACACAACAAGAAAATATGCACACAGCTAGAAAACTACATACGTTACAACACAACTAAACCTTTTTTTTTTCTTTATAAAGGCTTTACAACCTGAGCCATTTTGTTCTCACCACATCCAGTTCGGGAACTTTCTCCATGATCTCCACCAGCTTCTCTATCTTTGTTTCCTCTGTAAACACAAAATCGTCATCCACCCACAGGAAGTACTTTGTGATCACCTGGGAGACGGCAAGATTCCTGCCAGCGAACCAGCCCTGAGGGAGAAATATGAGATTCTAATGGTTACTACTCCTAAATTAGTGTTATGTCCTTATCTGACAAAACTTGTTCTTGTTGCCAGAAGAAAAAATCAATAAAAAAAAAAATATTGTTCTAAGTTAAATGCAACAGAAGATCTCCTGAAAATAAAGCAAGTTTACGGATTCATATCTACTGATAACTTAACACCCATTCCCACAAGCAGAAAAGCTTGCATTGTATAAAATTATTGCTTTGTCCAACATTGGTTCAGTATAATACAGAAATATTGAGTATTGTACGTACCTGTGCTGGAGGCATGATGTAGTGTTGGATATGTTCTCTGGTAATTTTCTGCGGGTCATCGCTGTCATCGGCAATGATGACTGTAATGTTGCTATAAAAACGCCGTATGCTGCTCAACAACACCTCCAGTTTTTGGTAGCGCAGGAATATCTTTGTGGTGATGGTAACGTGGGAGCTGATTTCTGAGTGGACAGTCGTGTTTAAGAAAAGATTAAAACACAAGAAGGAGCGTTTTTTCAAGTTCAAACAGTTTGGACAGTTCCAAATGTTCAGAGAGAGGAGCTTTACTTTTGATAGCTTAAGTAAAGCACCAAAAAAAAAAAAAAAACACATTCATTAAGAGAACTGCAAAAGAAGGCTGTTGGTTTTGATTTGGTGATGAATAACACAACATTCTTCTGACTAACACTAATCCATCTACTCCATTAAAAACAAGTGTTGTTGATGACTAAGTAGCTAATGCCTACATCAGAAAACTTGTCAAAATATGTTTACTTAAATGAGTCAGTTACAGTTTTATCTTCCTGCATGTTTTAAGCCTGCATTTGAATTAAACAAACAAAGTAAACAGCATTTTAACTGGTACATATATAACTGCACTGAAATACCATGCAAGCACAGAATGTCCTTATCATTTGTTAAAAATCATCAACCCATTAAAGTAGATTATCAGCCCTTCTCATAGACACTACAATATTGACCTTAAATCTAAATAAAACTGGTTGCCTTCTACTGATCCGCCAAGCTGTTAAGAAAAAAGACATGATAAGTGGTCAGAAACTTGTCTGTCATGCGTCTGCACCCCGCCTGATACATTAGTTAGGGTTGAAGTTGCCTAACCTCAACTACTCTCCTACTAAACTCAACTCCTTTGGAGTGTGCAGGACTCTGCTACGGACTTTTTATGACACTGTGGTGGCGTCTGCACTTTTCTATGCAGTGGTCTGCTGGGGAGGAGGGAGCACGGAGAGAGACAGGAAGAGACTGAACAGACTGGTCAGGAGGGCCAGTTCTGTCTTGGACTGTCCTCTGGACTCTGTAGAGGAGGTGGGTGAGAGGAGGATGTTAGTGAAGCTGACATCCATCATGGACAACCCCTCTCACCCCCTGCATGACACTGTGGGGGCTCTGAGCAGCTCCTTCAGCAGCAGACTCAGACACCCACCCTGTAAAACAGAGCGCTACCACAGGTCGTTCATCCCATCTGCAGTCAGACAGTTTAATCATACAGTTTAATCAGACTCTTTAACAACATCACCACCTCATGCTACACACTGTGTGTGTTTTTTTTTTTTAAGAAGAAGTTACTGTGTAATTTTACATTATTGTATTTTTTTTATTTAAATGATGTAAATATGTTTGATCTGTTTTTAACTTCTATTTTTATTTTAATAAGTATATTCCCGTCCCCTGTTTTCTGGAGCTGCTGTAATGCACAAATTTCCCCCACGGGGATCAATAAAGTTTATCTTTATCTTTATCTTTATCTTTATCTTTATCTAACCTCATTTTCTTTATTGTCCTTTTTATGATGACCTTAAATCTTCAGACCGTCATACTGAGTTCACACCTGTTCATATACCGTTTCACACCTACCTGTTCCTATGTCATAAAGCACTGGCAGTTTAGGCTGCTTGATGGAGATGGGAAACACAGCTTCATGGTTCTCAAACTGGAAGATGGCTGGGCAGAGAAAAGGACAGTTACAGCAAGCTGTGTCTTACTGGAAATAGATAAGTAAATAACAATGGTGTTAGTACGAATTTTCATGAATTCATTCATCTTGGTAATTTTGTGGATGTACCATTTAAATCTGTCTAAGAGTAATTCTTCTTTTAGGTCTGTGTTGATGGAACAGTAAGACTCTCATAGCAGCAGATCTATATTTGGAGTGAAGCCAAGTATATTTACAGATCATGATCATGTCATCTTTCTTGACTATTAGAGGTATACCCAGATAGACAGGAATTTGTAGGCTTTACCTTCTAACAGAGTATAAGCAACACTGCTAAGATGAAAACTTTGTCCGCGGTTTGTGTTCTGTTGCTGTTGTCTGACTTCGGCCTAATAAATTCTAAGATAATCCACAGCCTTATTTGCGATTTCATCATTGAACATCCACAGCAGAAACAACCCCCCACCTATCAGGTACTAAGGAAGACTTTGTAGGCTCAAAGGAGACAGCATTTCAATCAATTCAACAGTAAAGGATTCACATGGTTTATACAGTGCATTAAACACATACATGTACATGTACAAACATGTCCAGCTAATGGATAACTTCATGCCCTTGTTGTGCAGACTATCTCTCCAATGCATTTATTGATGTATTGTTCACATAAAGATTATGTTTTCTTGTCTGGTAGACACATACCCAAGTCGCCGGTGTGTATATGGTAGACAGTGCTGGTATATGACACTGTAGCCAGCAGGTTGTTGAGGGTCACCAGGCTGCTACATTCTACAACCAGGCTCATCTCGCCATCACCTGCCATTTCACCACAGACAAACAGCATTCATTGACTTCTCAGAAGTTCCGTTGAGTTATCTAGGAAATGTCCCTGTCGAGGGTAATAATTTGATTTCCCTCCCTCCATCAACAAATGTAGAACCATCACCAGCTATTTTTAGCGCTGATTTAATTATTTCTCAAGCAAATTAGTCCACTTAGTCCTACTCATTTGGACAAACGACCTTCATGAAGTTCCTTCTGATTACAAATCTTACCTTTTATTGTCACTCCTTCAGGTGAATTCTTAACGGTGAGGAACCCTTTGGACACAGTCAAGGAAACCTAAGGGGTCACACCACTCATAAAGTTTAGACCAATGAGAGAACAACGAACTGCACAACAATAACCAACACTAGTATTTCTTATATGTATACAAGTTTTATTTTAAGCATGTTTTTAATACATCTCATTAAATTCAAGAATGATTTGAGGAGAAACAATAGCCTCATATAAGGGGATAGATGTGGTTGCTATATTGTCACAAAGTCCATCTCTCTGCCCATCTCTTTAGCCCAACCCAATCTTCACATCTCAAATTTCCCAGCCCCTAGAGCTAGCCACTCCAATCTGCCATGCAACCTCCTGATAACCCTCATCCATCTGAGCCTCCACCTAGCCAAGACTCCCTGTGTTTATCAGGCTTGTTAATGATTTTTTTTTTTTTTTTTGTTACCCCTGCTTTGAAGCTCAGGCTGATGCCTATTACATATTACAGATTGTACATTGAATACCCACACACACACGCACGCAAACACACACACACTATATTCTATTACTATTATTGTTATTATAACTACTATATCCATTTTTTCCCATCCATTTAAGAACAAGTGATATCATTCACAATAAACAACACAGTAAACAACGGCCGCTTCCATCTATCATCCTAGCTAATGTACGCTCCCTCCGCAATAAACTGGACGAGTTACAGACTAACATTAACCACATGCACGAGTACAGGACTGCCTCTGTTCTTGCTTTTACTGAGACATGGTTAAACAAGAATGATGATGATAACATGCTGCACGTTGATGGCTTCTCCCCCCCTTCAAGACAGTGAGCTCACTGGGAAACAACATGGCGGTGGTGTGTGTCTTTATGTAAACACACGCCGGTGCTCAACGATCGTCGTGAGGGAGAAACTGTGCCCCTCGGACATCGAGCTTCTGGCTGTCTCCCTTCGCCCTTTCTATCTCCCCAGAGAATTTCCACAGCTTTTTCTCATCCTGGATTACATCCACCCCAGAGCTGACGCAGCCACTGAACACATCACAAACTTATTAAATAAACTGGAACACATATTACCGGACTCTTCCGAATTCATCTTGGGGCGATTTCAACCACTGCTCTCCTGAAAAATCACTAAAAGGCTACCACCAGTACATTACACGCAGCACCCGCCTGGGGAAGACACTGGGTAAATGCTATGGTTCAGTTCCTAACACATAGAGATCTGTTGCCCTCCCCCCTCTTGGCTCTGCTAACCATCATGCCATCCTGCTTGCTCCAGCATAAACGAAAGCATTCTTACACGACAAGGATGCTTTGAATCCACTGACTGGGATAACCTCTTAGCACCCTCCGACAACATTAATGAGCATGTGCACACTGTTTCATCATATATCTCCTTCTGTGTCAAAATCTTCCCAGTGTTTCCCCTACCATTATATTAGGGGGGCGGCTATCAGCACTGGATGGACTACTAAGGATGGATTCCTCAAAATGTAGGAAAGAGTTTCATTGGAATATCATTTCTGACCTGCAACAATTCTGTTACAGCATGTAACATACGTCAAGCTAAATAACATTCTCTTCTGTTCTTCTTGTGTATATTATCTGCTCAGCACAGTGAGACCTTCAAATTTATTCTGCCTTAAGCTAGGACTGCTTGCTTTAGAGATGAAAAAATATCGCCCCTCATTCTAGTTGCCCTCGGAGTAACGGACAGGCTATTGTTCTCCTTGACCCGTGTGCAGTAGACACAGAGCTAGGGAGGAAAGGCTGCTGGTGGGAGAAAAAGCTATTGGTATTTATTTAAATGTAAGAAATGTGTATCACAAAAAAAGCTGTTCTATTGAGGACAGTTTTTTTGGTTTTGGTTATAAATACAACAATTAGTAAAGCAAATTCTGGACATCCAGACAATTAGGACATCAGAGAAACATTTGTTGTCATTCTTGCTGTACCCATTCATCTGTGGGTCTTAGCGGCTTTGCCAGGCTCTGTCATTCCAGTAAATGTAGAATTAAATTGGTCGTACATTATATAATGCAGGCTAATAGGCATGTAACTGTAATACAGCTGACAGGGAGACAGATTTTGCTTCTTATATTTTGGGAGGACAAAGCTGTCTAACAAATTGTTAGAAGTCCACAGCAGTATGAAGGTTATTCATAATAAAAGAAAAGTCTGCTGCTCCAGGGTCATTTTATAAGGCTTTGTTCAAACATCAGTTTATTTTGCACATTAGGGGCCCTAGTTGTTGCCAGCCCCTTTCAGGGTGTGTGAATGGTGAGAGAGCAGCTGTTGAGATCCGGCTGGGTTCTTGCATTTGTGGCTGTCTGTGAGCATATGTGTGTACACTCTTAGAAATTGCCCCTGTTAAAAAAAAGGTAAACAACTGGCAGTAGGGTTGCCAGGAAGTTACTGTAAAATTAACGGTATATTGCTGTTGCTGAAATTTACAGTTTTCTACCATTTTTGTAAATACAGCAAAAAGCTGTGATTTTAAACCTTAACAGGAAAATACTGTTGAAAGAATTAACTGTTTAATACTGTTTATTTGCAGATTTTTACTGTGAATTGTAAATACTACACCTAGCTATAGATTAATTTCCTTCTACCAAATTGGACACAGTATATTTATTTTCTAAACCTAGTGATTTGATAAATGATTCCTTGCTTGTCAGGTTATAAAATACCATGTTTTAAAATAATAAATAAACAGTGCCTTTAAAATTGCAACTTAAAATGTTAAGACAAATAATAAAACTTCAAAGTGTCTTCTCAAACCACATCTGTCTTTATTTAAACTGTGACATAATCAAAGAAAATACACTTTAAGAACATGAAGGTTAAATAGGCAAAAAATCTAGCACAAATGTTTACATTTAGACATTTAGCAAAGGCCATTTCCAGTGTATAAAAAGTGCATAAAAGAGTTTTGGTAGATACATTTTAAACAGAGAAGTGAAAAGAAATTCTGTTATAGTTTCAAAACTGAATAAACAACCTGTCCTCTGAGGGAAACTGGGTCCCTGGACCTGCACCTCCCTCTCATTCCTCCTTCCAGACTGAAACTGCCACATAACAAGGATTCTGTAAAGGGAAAAAACAACATTAGAACAAAAGCAGCTCCAGCTGAACAGTGAACATTATCATAGGGACAATCCTTTCTGAATATTCTCCATATACAAAGAAGTAAAGTAAAAGTATGAAGTAGAACTAATATGAATAAAAATAAGTCCTGGTAGTACATGAATTCAGGATGTATGGCAGCAGCTTTATGTGTTAAAACAGTAAAACAGAAAAAAACATGCTTCAGGTCCATTCTGACAGTCTCACTAAAGTTTCCTTTTATACATTTTCAAATACTGTATATTATACTATTTATACTATGGCCATATTGCTTAGTAGGCCCTAATCATAATTTCTAATTCAATATTTAATCAATAGTCAGTGTCAGTTGAAGCTGAAACAAATATAAAGTGACTGTTGATGTTAGCTAACCTTACCATTACCACCAAGTAAGTAAGTCAAGTTCATTATAGCCCACTTAGTTAACCACATTACAAGAAACTGTTTTGTTTTTTGTCCCATTTAGCAACTGTTAAGATCTGTATTTCAAGCTAATGTTAGCTGGCAAAGAATTCACTCATGTGCATGTGTCTGCCTTCAGTGTTTCTGTGTAATTTTCAAATCTAGCTAACCTTAATCTTACAAATCACTTCAAATTTAGTAAGTGATGGTTTTTGCCTATTCTAACTAGCAAAGCAGTAAGGCACTCACCTCTTAATTGTCAGGATGGAGATGGATGCCAATCTGGCAAAGCCAACTCCACTGTCCTTTCAACCATGTGGTCTCAACTTCTTTTTCCCAAAATGCATTGCAAAAACTACGGTAAATTACTGTTTTGCTTCCTTCAAGCAATAATACAGTAAAATATTGTTATAAACCGTTATAATACAGTAATGTCCTGTATTTAAACATAATAGGATCATACTGTTGAAATTTCCTTGTAAATTTACATCAATTTCTTAGAGTGTATGTTGGTTTGTGAGCACCTGCAGTTGGGGGTGGGTTAGATTTGGGGCTCTGGGAGCTGTTGGCAGCAAGCAGAAGGCGGGGTTTCACGTTGCAGAAGCTGTAGTTAGTTTTCCTGCATGCATGCGGCGGTATTAAAACATGTGATTGTGTGAAGAGACTGCAGAGAAGTCTGACCCATTCACGTACAGAGTGACATCATACACTGTCACCACCTTATTTGCCTCTATGAAGGTTTATTCTCTGGTGGGCCCACTGCCCAACAGACCTGTAGTATTGCTTAATATGTAAATTATGTAACCTGAAACTTCAATTTCTACAGTGTGTAGGAGGCGCCTCTGCTGCAGCACACTGAGTTCTTTTCTTACCTGCTACTAGAATGGTGTGAATGAAAGCTGTGCCCTCCATCCATGGTGTTTTCATGAACTGTTATCTACATTAACTATTTAGTTCACATAACGCTCAGCTTTTAAAACATATTACTTTAGCCTTTTATCCTTTCATCCATTTTTGCAGGTGCAAGCTTGTGGGAAAATAATAAGCCAAAATATAAATTAAAAAAAACAACAATTGGGTAATAATAGAGATAAACAAAAGCAAAACATTTTTAACATACGGTAAATTTGATTACAGTAGCCTTTTAATAAAGAACCCACACACAAGCCTATTTGATAACCTCTGCTTTTCTCTTAGGTCAGACTTTATATGTTTTTGCGTGCATTACTGTCAGTGTTTGCCCACCTGACAGTGATGGATTTAGAGGCCTAGTTGCATTTTAAAATTCAGCATCTGAAGAGTGAGCAGCTGAATAGTGACCCGATACGTTTCGCTGGCTGGGTTCTCCTTCCATCTCCGTTTTCTATCGAAAAGGTATCCTTAAAGACTTCTTTCCCTGATTTCCGACAGTATCCACTATCCTATCCCTACAATAAAGGCACGAAAAGCCGTGCCGCCCCCCTAATATAATGGTAGGGGAAACACTGTCTTCCCCAACAACAAACCACGGAGAGTTCAAGAGTTCAATGAGATTCTCAACAAGAAGAAAAGGGTCTTCTTCACCGGCTGGAGAAAAAGGAATGGAGAAAAAGGAGGTAAACAGAGAAGTCAAGCATGCAATAACAACTGCCAAACTCAAGTACAAATACAAAGTGGAGGAAAAATTGGCAGGGCCTCAAAAACATGGCCGCTGTGAACACTGCTGCTACCAACAACAAAACCATCCATGTTGCAGGCTGCAGCTCCACTTCTCTCTCCAACGATCTCAACTCATTCTACACCAGATTTGAGAAAGACAATACCACACAGCTGGAAGAAACAGTGTTCATGCTCAAGCCCAGTGACTCTGCACTCATCCTCAGCAGAGAGGATGTGGTGAGAGCCCTCAGGAAGACAAGGGAGAGCAGCTCACCTGGTCCAGACAACATCAGTGACCGCATCCTAAGGCACTGTGCTGAGCAGCTAGGGGGCGTGTTTCAGACCCTGTTTCAGAGCTCAATGGACAGCAGCACAGTCCCCCAGCTGTGGAAACACTCCACAGTTATCCCCATCCCCAAGAAAAGTCTCAGGTGGACCCGCTACAATTTGCTTATCGTGCAGGCAGAGGTGTCGATGACGCAAAAACATTCATTATAGACACTGTTCACAAACACCTGGAGCACCCCAACACCTCAGCCAGACTCTTGTTTGCAGACTTCTCCTCTGCATTTAACACTCTGCAGCCTCACATCCTGGCTGACAAACCTTCAACTTGCTTCCATCTGAACGACCAGCTTATCCTGTGGATATTGGACTTTCTGACCAACAGATCACAGAGAGTTCTGGTCAACAACACATTCTCCAACCTCCAACACACCTCAACTGGCTCCCCTCAGGGCTGCATGCTCTCACCTCTGCTCTTCATTCTCTACAGCGATGAGTGCAGAACCACACAGCCAAACTGTCACCCGGTGAAGTACGCGGATGACAGAGTTCTCCTGTCTCTGCTGTCAGGCCCCTCTCAGCACCATGGACCAGTTCTTCAGGAGTTTGTGGAGTGGTGTGACAGCTCCTGCCTCAAACTGAATGAGAGCAAGCCCAAAGACATGGTAGTGACCTTCTCCAACAAGCAGAGGGAACTGGCTGCAGCTGCAATTACCACAATCCATAAGAATCCTTTCGAACAAGTAGAGGAGTATAAATACCTGGGTACCATCTTCGACAGCCTGCTGAAATTGTCCTCCAACACCGAGGAGATTCTCAGGAAATGTCAGCAGCTCCTTAGGAAGCTCAATTCCTTCAGTAAGTCAGTAGTCAGGAGTCAGTAAGAACATTCTTCTGACCTTCTACTACTCCTTCATTGAGAGCATTATTACATTTTCTATAACCTGCTGGTTCCACTCCACCACCCTCCAGAACAGAAACCGCCTGCAGAGCAAGGTCACAGTCTGCTCTAAGATCATTGGACTACCTGTAAGGACTCTGACATCCATCTATGAGCAACAGACAATGAGGCTAGCAGGTCGGATCATGCAGGACCCATCCCATGCTCTCTTCCCAGCGTTTGAGTGGCTCCCCTCAGGACGCCGTCTTCACTGTCCCTGCTGCAGGACACAGAGGAGAAGAGCAACCTTTGTTTCCAGGGCTGTCCAGCTCCTCAACTCTCAGTAATTGTGGGACATGTTGTTACCTGACTCCAGAAGGAAACTTTGAAATCAGTTTTTCAATGCCATTTTGTTGCCAAATCAATTGTACCATAGTCATGAGTATAGGGGTAGCTGGTTGTCTTGGTTCCAGGTGTCAATCTCTTGATATAAGGATTTTGTAAAATGTCACTGGAGGAACCAAAGCTTCTGAAAAAGTGGGCGGTGACTGTTGAGCTATTTTTCAACCTATTATGTTTCCCATGGTTAACCATGGCCACTGGGACACATTCCTATTAACCTCTTAGAGGCACATGAAGTGTTCTCAGAACAATTTCCCCCACGGGGGATTAATAAGGTTTATCTTTAGAAATGCCCATGTTCAAAACATAGGTGGTGAGTGCAAAGCCAGCATGACAAAAAGAGTTCTAATGGTCCCAAAAGTTGTATAGAAAGGCTTCCTCCCCATTTCTTTAGCCTCTTTCTTGTCCGTACTTTCTCCAATTCACTGTTGAAGACTTTTTAAATCAAAACAGCAGCCCTCTTGTTTAAACTAGCCAAAAACTTCAATACTGCAAGTCAGATGTCAAGTGACTTGTCCATCTGTTGTACCAAACCTACCTTATAGCTTTCACTTTGCCCGGCCTTCAGCCTTAAACCTGAAAGCAAAATGACATTGGAATTTTATACTGCTGTTTTACGAGAGCACACACATTTATCACAGGCTTTATTTACTTTCAAAGCTGATGAATTCTGATATTAAATGACCAAGCTTTACAGCTCCCTGTAGCCTGTAGTTAACCTTCAGTGTATGCTGGTGAAACTATCTAAGCCAGGACGTGTGGAGATGAGATATGGATGATGGAGCAGAGGAAGTCATATCCAATAAGTCCATCGAAGAACTAATTCTTGTTTTTCTCTAAAAGAGTTCAATGACTATTGTGTTAGATTTGGTTACGTTTCCTCAAGTCATGTCTCCACTACTCAATGAATCTGCTAAAGAGCGCTGCAGGAGCTTGATTGGTAGACAGCGCTATCAATCATGCCTTTGGACATAAATAGAGAACAAACCATATGACGTATTTTTGTAGGCCAACCCGGAAGTAGCATTGCCATGGGGTCTAGCGAGAATTCGCCTATGGGATTTTTTCATTGGATTTTGGATCATTGCAGAAAATAAGCTCTGTGGCAAACACATGTTTCTGATGCGTAGGTGCTTTGTTCAGCGGAATAATCTTCACAGATGAACACCATTTTTATGATGTTTGAAGCGTTAATGCAGTCGTCAAGTAAAAAGCTAACGTTAAGCTATAGCAAACTACACCACGGTCGGATGATTGTCACTACCATTATGCTTCAGACAATCTCCAATAAACTAATCCGCGTATCTTAATAAATTGTTTATTAACGTGATGACGTTTAATGTCCCCGACAACCACTGTAGTCACATTTAGCCACTTGTTAGCAACCGCCTTTTTAAGCACGCGTGAAAACTTTGAAAATTCACAAGTGGGGGTATTACCTAACGTAGTTTATGTCGTCTAATAAAACACCAAAATCTCTTAAGCTTGTGTTAACCAAAGACCTAAATTCAGGCGTCTAACCACAAACCCATTCAAAATTCCCATTGACTTTGAGACGATAGACCTCATGGTGCTCAAATGTTTACTTACTTCCGGGTTTTAGGACTCATTCCTGTGGCGCTCTATTGCCTTCATTTTGATTAAACTTATAAGTGATTGATGACTACAAGAAAGAATGCAGATAGCAGGCTGTACGGAAAGAGAGCAGCTCAGTGCAGCGAATGTGAACTAGTTCATATTTTACAGTGTGAACTTCGTTCAAATTTAAAAATTTAACTATGAACGTGAATTAGTTCGTTTTAATATCTGTTGACTGAACTTTAAACCAGTTCTTTCTCTGTGTGAACTTGCACAACTATGGCATGGCTCGTCTGTTAACATGGATGAGGCAGAACTTATGAGCTATACCTCAGCCTGTCAGCAGGGAGAGCTCCAAATATTTTGGCTTCGCTTTCAGGGAGCAGTTGTGTCATCCATCTTTATTATACAGTCTCTGGTTGAAACTCTTAAAAGATTTTAAAAAATGTAGTAGTGTCTGGCATACCTGGTATGAGAGTGGTGGTCAATGGTCGTACAGTAAAACCCTGGATAGGATACCGCAGAGGTGAGTTAGGTTCGGCAAACAGCAGACTGGATAACACTGATGTAGTCCTGTTGAAAAGATGGAGGAGTGGGTGATGAAGTGAGAGAGTTTAAACTTTTCTTGAGTTTCTTGAGTTGATCCATGGCTAAGATGATGATTTAGAAGTTAGAATTAATTACAGGAAAGTTCCCTTCTCCGATTTCCCTAAATATTGTTTCTCTATCGCATTCACTTTTCTAAGTTTGTAAACATCACTTTGAGGTCATCCATCCATCCACTATACCTAGTAAGTGTTGTTGATGCTCCTTGGCTCTGCGTTTCACCAGCTCTTCATACTGATCCTTGGGAACGTGGTCTTTGAGGAGCACTGAGCCGGATGGACAGGTGCATGGACCAGATGAGGGAGAAGGACTGGATGATATCAAACTGAAAAGACTGGACAGTGATTTTTAATTCAACTCTGTTTTAGGGGTTGCACAGACTTGTCGACTAGTCCACTTTACAGTGTGATGACGTTTTATGCATGATGTTGAATTATTTTATCTTAATTATCTTGACAACAGGATGTGGAATTGGTCGACAGATTCTATTGTGTTTATTTGTGATTTTGTGAATTCTGTATTTATGAAGCAACATTAGAATACAGAGAACAAAGCACAAAGATTTATTTTGAATACTGATAAATAAATTCTACGGAGTGAAGCTGAACTGAAAAGGGCTCATTCGTTTCTCCTGTTTATACAGCAATCTTATCTGCAGAAGGGATCTCGGTTTGAGACATGTAACATTTACAGTAAAATAATTACTAACCTAAGTTTAATTGACTATCAATTTACCCTTTATTGATGATGGTTATTATAAAGTAAGCTCGAAAAACGTTCCTCTAAACTGCCTACTATGAACTATGAGTGGTTCTTACTTCTTTTCCAACTTTTTGACTATTAGAGGAAGAATATGCAATTTTTTGATCCAGTAAATGTCGCCCTTGAGCACCAGCATGAAAACAAAACATCTCAAGCTGCATTGTTGTGTTAGTATGCAAATGCCGTAAAATACAGTGCAAGGTAGACTAAAAATGGAAACTATAAAATCCAATAGAGAAATGAAAATACAAAATGGATAAAGAAGAGTAGTAGTAAAGATATACGTGGACAGGGATTGGACTAACAGAGGGAGACAAGTTTTAACAGAACTACATACACACACACACACACACACACACACACACACACACACACACACACACACACACACACACACAGTGGGTTCTTTACCTCTGTTTAGGACAGGTATGGAAAAAGTGAAAATAGGAAAACAGCAAGATGATGGCAACAGTCACAAGGAGAAGTTGCTGTTTGTTACACTTGCCGATCTGATGAGAAAGAAAGACAAGGAAGGTGACTAATTCCTTTGACCATGGTCAAAGGAATTAGTCACCAGTTTATTACACATTGCATTCTTTGTCCTATAACTCTTAAATTATAAGCTGTGACAGGAAACTCTGGCTTGGAGATCAATTAAAAAAATAATAAAAACATAATGATGTTGATGTAGATTTGTGTGTGACTTAGGCTGGAAAAAAACACATCTTTTAGAGAATGACATTTAGCCCTGGTTATTATGTGAAAAGCAATAGAAAAATGGTTCAAAAACTTTCCTGAAATGCAGCAAACAAGCGGCTTAGTGGTCTCCTTTTACCATGATCCGCTCTTACAAGCTTCATTAGGGACTGCACAAGAAGTCAAGTGTTCCATTGTTCTTAGACGGCCGACTACAACTGTATAGAGTCTGGGTTTAGCTTCTGAGAACCGATACTGCAGGTTGAAGGTTGTGGCACAAATTGTGTGTTCAAAACACAAATGTGTATTTGTAACTTAAATACTTTGCTGTAAGTAGAAGTAAACTTCAAGTAGTTTTTAACCTTCAATCAAGATAACAAGATCAAAGACCCTAACCGTACACTTATTTTAGCAGTAAAAAACACAAAATGCCAAAAATAACTGTATATTGTTTTATCAAATATCACTATAACTACATAAAAGAAAGTGGAAGACACTAGGACCTTACAGGTGAATCTCACCATCAAAACTAAAACACTATAGGAAACATCACGTAGAACATATAGTTATATAGTTCTTACCATTTTCTGACTTCAAGGTCCCTCTCTTGTTCCTCTCATGCAGCATAGATAAGTGACCCTCAGATAACATAGAACATGAAAAAGGAGCGGCTTAATGATGTTGACGATCCTGCTCTACCACAATACGGTGGCCCTGAAGTGCAAAACACAACAACAAATAAGAAAACACAACCACAAATCAAACATAAGTCAAAAAACACAAACACAAATCAAAAAACACAACGACAAGTCAAAAAACACAAACACAAATCAAAAAACACAACAATCAAATCAAAAAACACAAACACAAATCAAAAAAACACAACCACAAATAAGAAAACAAACACAAATTACAAAACACAACGACAAATCAAAAAACACAATGACATTAACTTAAACCGAAAAAGTAGGTACCTGCAGTCGACAAGGATCGTCGCTGATTGGAGGAACGCAATGTCCATCTTTTTAACCGGGAGCATGCTGCTTCCGCGAGTTGATTTCAAAACATGAAATTTAATTACATTAAGGAATACATTTAATGTATTCCTAGGTCTCAGTTTTGGATGGACCTGTTTGGAGACCTAAGAGACTCTGGACACTTCAACGGTTGCCATGAACACCAGTGCTTACTGAGATTCTGCTTCAGTAATGTTCTGCAGAAAGACCTGGATGACTGTACGGACCTCTGGAACAAGCACAGGATTCGACCATCCAGACTTGCCTCATGTCCTGGAGGGATTCCAAACGAACTGTATTTGTTGCCTCACAGGTAATCCACATCAACTCAGAGTTAAATGGTCATAAACTGAATATTGTATTTTTACAAATTGCACTGCACTCGTTATGGTAACTATATTTGGATTATTGTATATTTTTGTAAATTATAGTATTTAATATAATTTATAGGCTAGTTGTCCTGCCTTTGTTTACTTTTACATTTCTGTATCAACAAGCAAACACATCTTATTAACAATGGCCATTTCAAATTACATTTTTAGTTTGCAGAATTTGCAGGTTTGTTCAAGGGACAGTGGATTTGCTGTTGAAGACAGGGAACTAAATGTGTTGCCGGAGGCCAGGCAAACAATTGAGTCATGCGGTGACCCAGACATTCAGGCCACAACAGGCTGTGGAACAAAATGGATTACAGCAGCCACAAAATAGCTGGGCTATAGATGTGGACTATACTGTAGCTCTTACAAATATTCCATGTTACAGTGAACCTATAGCTGAGAAAAAATGTTTCTGCTTTAGCAGGAGATGGCTTTACATTACATACATTACTGATTGGACTGTAAATGCTTATATTTTGGGAACTACTGAGTCTTAATTGTGAACTGACATATGAGTAGCATAAAGGGTTTTAATTGTTAATAAAAGGATGATCTACCGAAAATTCTCAAATGTGGTACTTTCAATTTTCAGTTTTGGTAACTGGAATTCTTGCAAGCACAAAATATTTTATTCTTTGTGAACTGATATCACTATTTACACTACATGTAGAACATCTAGTAGACAGTTTCCTTGTATAGTATGCCATGTTAACAGCAGATACTGTGCATTAATGCTACAGAAGTCACAAGCTAAATAATTCACAACAAATTACACAATTACACTTTTTATCGTTGTGGTGCACGCACTGAACACAGAGTGGACCTACTCAGAGTTGATTTAACTAATTCAAATCTGCTGATCTGGAACCAAAAACTCAAGAGTTTCCCACCTGAGAGTAAATCAACTCAGAGCTCAGGTTAGACTGAGGGTTTGTTCAACCTTCTTTCAGAAACGGGCCCCAGGTCTGTAAGTGACTGCCTCAGAGTCAAACAATGTTTATCAGCAGTCACAGGGGATAATACAATCACTCTTAATGGATGTAAAATCTCGCAACCTCTTGCTACAACCACTGCAAACCACGCCGTACATTTTCTGGGAGCTCTTTGCCACAATTTGGGCAATACATCATGAATTTTAAATCTCTGCTTACTTCGTTGACATTTCTCTGCCTGGCTCCAAAGGCATATGAAGCATTTACTTCCGGTTAAAATCAGCGACGATCCTTGTCGACTGCAGGTACCTACCTTTTCCGGTTTAAGTTAATGTCGTTGTGTTTTTTGATTTGTGTTTGTGTTTTTTGATTTGTGTTTGTGTTTTTTGATTTGTTGTTGTGTTTTCTTATTTGTGTTTTTTGATTTGTGGTTGTGTTTTTTGATTTGTGTTTGTGTTTTTCAATTTGTTGTTGTGTTTTCTTATTTGTGGTTGTGTTTTTTGATTTGTGGTTGTGTTTTTTGATTTGTGGTTGTGTTTTCTTATTTGTTGTTGTGTTTTGCACTTCAGGGTCACCGTAACAGGCAAGGCAGGCAACTGCTTGGGGGCCCCTGAGAGCTGACAAACTTTCAACCACAGCAGTTGCTCAAATGTGCCAACTTTCCAATGACAGAAGGAAACTTACCTAAAGGGGCCCCATCTGACAGTACTCACTCTCATTAGCCTGCTAAGCGTTGCATGAATTATTACTGTGAAACCCAGAGTTTGTCAATGTAAGTCAACAAAGAACAATGAAGAGGAATTATCTGTCTATAGGAGAAAAAAATGAAACTGAAAAATGAGTATGCATTGGGACACTAGCAGACATAATGGTGATGAACACTGGTTGGAGGGTTTTCCACATTGCGAAACACGGAAAATGCCATCCGGCCTTGTTGACAGTGACCCTTTAAAAAACAGTTTCCACTTGCTGTGGATAATTCCCATAGTTTCCTGATGTTCATGTTTTGTAGATTATCTTCCAGTGCTGTCCTGTGTCGTTGTTTTGCCTCCCTCAGTTTCGGTTTAAGTCTGATTGTTCTGCCCGTAGTTGTAGCTGATCCTTATTCTTGAATGCAAGTTTCTTTGTGTTGATACAGTCTTTTACCTCCTGATGTAATGTTTACCGTTAGAGAACACCTTTATTGTCTTTTTTGGGATCACAGAATTAATGCAGAAATGAATACAGTCTGTGATGACTTCTGTCACACAGTCTATATCTTAGAAAAAGTGTCCCATTACGTGCATACAAAAACAGCCTTTCACTGTGTCAATACTCTCTTTTGTCCATACAGTACATTGACAGATTCATCAAGAGGCTTGCTGCTCTGAAGAGCTGTTCTGTATTGGGGGAACAGGTGGATCTATCTGTTTTTCTTTGTACTAGCTGAATATGCACCATAGATATTTCCATAACATTTCTCTACAGTTTTGCTTTCAGGTGTGACAACCCTGAGGTTTTCCATATTGGTTTGCACATTTTCTAGCCTATGTGGCCTGTAGCGTGAGTGGAGAAGGGTGTCGTTAGGCCAATGCTGCAGACAAAGAGCTCTCTCTCTCTTATTCTCAGGATGGTATGCCAGTGAACATGCCAGCTCCCTACTTGCAGCTTGTTTTGTTGTGAACTAAACTTTGATGCACACATACACTGTCACACTCATCTATACACACACGTTACTTATCTTACAGATTTACAGATTTCTGAACTTTAGTGGTATTGTTTTCAACAGATATGGAGTTAATGTATTAACATCATCCCTCTCCATCATAACATTCATATGATCTACCATTAAATATCTTAAAGGGGTCATATTATGCTTTTTCTGGTTTTATATGCTCTTTAGTGTGTTTTCCAAGTGTCCTGTGCATGTTTAGGCACATCTATGTGCAAAAATTCAAAGTCTGCGGAAACGCGGCTTCTCCTACGTCCTCCTGTTAGCTGTAGCATTAGCTGCATGTAACTGCCAGTGTGACGTCTTGTCAGTGTGATATCACTGATCTAAGCCCATTGGCTCGTTGTGGCAAGCCCAGCAGCTCATGTTGTATGCCCGTTAACTTCTGTAGCACGCCCACGATATGCCGTAACCTGCGGTAGCACAGTAGTGCTAAGGTGCTAATGTTTTTGCTCCCCGGGCCTCGGAGCCAAAGTGACTACATTCCCAATATGGTAAAAGGGGCGTGACATTTCCGAGAACCGTGCTGAGCGACTGACCAATTACGGCAGAGCCGACAGGCCGACCAATCAGATCAGACTTGGCACACGTGGGGACCATAGACTGTAAATATTACTGGACGAACCCTGACCCGTCTGTTACATAGGCAGAAAATGAGTCCAATATTGGATTTGCTGTCTCAACCTAACTTCGGATCAACCTAACGACAGCAGTAAGGCGGGACCGGCGGGACTTAACTCCGCCCATTCAGCTCGACATTAGCAGTCCACTTCACAGCATAGCTAACAGCTAGGCTGCTAGCATCCCCTATTCCTGCTCGTCCTGAGAAAACTCTCCAAACAGTAATTTAACATTTAACTTTTCTACAACACAGTTAAAACTAATTATATTCAACCCAAATATTTAATTAAAGTCTTAAAACTAAACTTTGTTAAATATACAATCATGGTTATTAGTTATTTGTCAGAGCAGTTAGACTTTGTCAGTGTTAGCAGAGCAATACATTAGTAAAGTTTTATCCATAGACTGTAAATAAATATGAGACATCCAGAAGAAATCAATATTACAAAGCATACAGTTCATGTTACTGTTCTGACAAAAAGAGGAATGTCTGTGTCTTATATTCACTGATGTCAACAGCGAGGTGGGTGAACATGACAATTGAAAAATAATTATTTAGTATTTATTATAAGACATTTGTTTTCTATAGAACCCCGTGAAGTCATGGAGTCTGTGGACAGTGTCAGCTTCACACCAAAAACTTAAGTATTAGAAAAAATAGTGTTTAAGACTGGCATCTATTATTATGAGTTGCAGCTACCTTGTTCAATATTATTCCTGCAGATGTGGCTAATAACAAAAAAACAGCCTGAGCTGTCACATGTAGTTAACTGTACATTTTGTCTTGTCTGAGGCATTATTTGAACATCTTTGTATTTCTCCTATAGACACAGTGTGGATTATTGGTGACTGGTCCGTCGAGGTGCCCAGAGAGCTGCAGAGACAGAGGAAGAAGCCTGAGCCTCAACAACATCTGCATTTGTTGGTTCTTCTGGGGTGGACTTCGGTTGCTTCTCTTCAACAGCTTGCTGTGAGGGAGGTCTGAGTGATGTCACCCACAGGCTGAGAGCTG